ATTGAACTCAGGACCTCTGGAAGAGCAGCCAGTGCTCTTAACCACTGAGCGATCTCTCCAGCCCCCATTTTCTGTTTCTTTGTTTAGACATCTATCTATCTCTGTGTGTAGTGTGGGTGTGAGCGCCTGTTTGTGTGTGCATGCATGTGAGAGGGCAGAGGTCAATGGTGGGTGTCTTCCAGCTCACACTGCCTTTTATTTTGAGACAGGCTCTCCCTGAGCCCAGAGTTCACTGATTGGCTAGATTAGCTGGCCAATGAGCTCTGGGGATCCTCTTGTCTCTGTGTGTCACTACCCCCTTCCAGCTCTGAGGTTATCAGAGCCCAGGCTTTGTGTGGTTGTTGGGATTTGAACTCAAATCCTCATTCTTGTGAGGCAGGCACTTCGCTGAATAAGCTCTCTCCTGTAGCAGGAATCCTAAAGAGTCTTATTAATAAAATCAAACCTGTGGCCAGTTATTGGGTGAATTCTGGAAGATCAGAGAGACAAAACAAACCACAGCTAACCTCACCTGGCCAACTTCTCAGCTGGTCTTCTTTCCTCAGACTGAATGCTTCTGTGTCCTCATCCCAATGGCTCTCAGCTGAACGGCTGCTCGAAAGCCTGAAGCTTAACCAGCCAAAAGCTTAACCAGCCAAATGCTTCTAGTTTCTGGTCTTCACACCTTATATACCTTTCTGCTTTCTACCACCACTCCCTGGGATTAAAGGCGTGTGTCACCATGCCTGGCCATTTCCAATGCAGCCTTGAACTCACAGAGATCCAGAGGGATTTCTACCTCTGGAGTGCTAGGATTAAAGGTGTGAGTGCCACCTTTTTTTAGCCTTTGTATCATATGGTTTGTTCTGTCTCCGACCCCAGATAAGTTTATTAGGGTGCACAATATTTTGGGGAACACAATACCCACCATACTCTCCCCAGCCCTCTATTTATGAAAGCTGTTATACATTGTGTGTTCTATCTCATGGTTTGTATGAGGACATTGATTGCTTGCTTTCTATTGCACACTTGGATTGTTTATTATTGTGATGATTTCATTACCAAGACTCACTAACAACCTGATTCAGATGGGCTGCAGCACAGGCCTTTGCTACCAGCCTTCAGGAAGCTGGCACAGCAGGATTGTGCGCTCAGTCACACTGGGCTACGTGGTGAAGCCCTGTCCCAACCTTAAAGCGACATTACAGAAGAGCAACAGGGGCTGGGATGTAGCTCATCTGGTAGAGCGCTCACCCAGCACGCACAAAAACCTGGGTTTGATCCCTAGCACCTCATAAACTGAGTGTGGTGGTACACACCTGTGTCCCCAGCTCTTGGGAGGTGGAGGCAGGAAGAGCAGGCATTGAAGACTTCATCCTCTGCTCCATACATGAGATGCTGTCTCAAAGAACAGCAACAACTAAGTCTAAACTCAAAGAACCACAAGGGGGAAGAAAAGAACCTGCTTTAAACATGGTTCACATGCTGCCACCTACTGGGAGAAAACCATGTTTCAGCCTAATTACATAATAAGAGAATTTTTTAAAAAAAAATTAGCCTCCACTCCTCCAATCTCTCTTGTTCTCCCTCACATCAACTGTTAGTATGGGCCAATGTTTCATTGCAACAATTAGGTTGCAATTTTTAACCAATGGAAAATTTTTCTGTAAGCTAGGCATGATGGAGGCAGGATGACTCACATCAGATCCATAGTGAGTTTGAGACTAACCCGGACTACATGAAACCCTGTCTCAAAAACGAAAGAAGGGCTTAGAGAGATGGCTCAGAGGTCAAGAGTTCTGGCTGTGTCGTGAGGACCAGATCCCAGCACCCACAATGGGAGGCTCACAAACACTTGTAACTCTATCCCAAGAGATCCAACACCCTTTTATGGCTTCTGCACACACACACACACACACACACACACACACACACACACACACACACACACCAAACATAGATACTCTCACATGTGCACAGACACACAAAAAAACCTTTAAAGAAAAACAGCAGCAAGGGGCTGGAGAGATGGCTCAGAGGTTAAGAGCACTGAATGTTCTTCCAGAGGTCCTGAGTTCAATTCCCAGCACCCACATGGTGGCTCACAATCATCTGCAGTGAGATCTGGCACCCTCTTCTGTATACATAATGAATAAATAAATCTTAAAGCCCGGCGGTGGTGGCGCACGCCTTTGATCCCAGCACTTGGGAGGCAGAGGCAGGCGGATCTCTGTGAGTTCGAGGCCAGCCTGGGCTACCAAATGAGTTCCAGGAAAGG